TACTCAAACTCCAGAGATTCTGTGAATGTGGGTGGCAAATTGTTCCAGAGGAGAGCTGTAATGTAGGCATCCACATGACTGAAGTGTTTGTTACCTTCAGCATTGAAGATTATCCTGCATATTTTCCAAGTTATCGTGTAACTGTGTTTCCTTRGTTTAGGTGGGTAAATGGCTCCAGGTTCTGGAGAGAGCTGTTTCTGAGAGGTAAGAGGTACAACAAGATAGCTTAAAATGCTAAATAAGCTATTAGATTGCAGAGATTGACATGCTGATCAAATCTGTGTGGCCTGTGGCTTGGCATTTGACCTCACCTGCGTGGTCTGCTCACGAGGACATGAGAGAGCTGGAGCAKCCAGCCTGTGGCCAGCGAGGGGATAAAGAAGCTACAGTCGTGTCTGAGCTGAATGGGGCTTTGATATGAAAATCTCAAAATTTAGATCACATGCAGGAGCCTATTACTAAGAACTGTTTTCATGATGAAGAAGCTGGTTTGGGGGAAAAACTGAGAGGCAGCAATATATATTATGATAGCAGGCTTGCTTGGCTGTAAGACGTCTGCTTTAGGCTTTTGTACAGCCCTGGAATGGGAAGCTTCTGAGGCGCGTTCTCTCTTCACACGGCCATGCAAAACCCAACTTGTTCCACTGTCTGTATATTAAGGCAAAATGTGGTCAGTTTTTAGATGTTTGTGACGTTCTGGTGAGAAAAAAAACACGTTAGGGAAAGAGATTCTATAGACGTGAAGAAAAGCAGATCATCCCGGGATTAGAACAGCAGTGTGCATTTCTAAAATAGCTATCTTGTTCGATGCAMCTATGAATTCAAAATTAGTTTTTAATAGATAAAGAATGGTTTTCCATAGTCCATGTGAATGCAATCTAAATTGTAAATGGACCAAATTAGTTAATTTGACTGAAAAGTTCAGTAGCAAAAGCAAAGCAGGCCTTGGAACTATAGTCCCTATTTCCAATGATATATGTCTGATAAATCATAAAAACAGTATATTTTTTACGTATTTGTCTGGAATAGAACAGAGCTCAACAGTGAGAATCTTCCATTTAACTRTGTTCCAATTTATATATGTTATCTTTTCCTCAGTTTAAGAAAATTAGGAAAGTTAAATTTCACCCTCATCAAAGACCAAGCTGTAGGGACCTTGGGTATCCATGCTGATCATGATGGCAACACACCTTGCAACACCCAGAAAAACGCTTTTGCCAAGTACTTCACTAGCAAAAGAGGATTTATTTCATTTGTGAAGTTTCAGGCCTAACATTCTGCTGAATGATCCTTTTTTAAAATAAAACACGGGCAAATTTCTTCAGACAACATGGAGAATTAATAGGGTAGGGGAAAGATGAAGTTTTACAGGAAGAGTTTACTTATTAACCAAGGCACATAGTCTGGCTCGTGCACTCTGGAAGTGCCTCAGACATGCTGGCAAAAGATCAAGGATCATATAGAAGCTTAATATAATTTGCCATTTTTATATGGGTTTCTGTCTCGTAACTATTGAGAAGTTGTCATTGATTGCTGCCATAAAGGAAAAGAACAGCCACTCCCCATGAAGCACAAATTAACCGTAATGTGCAGAAAATATTAGAATTCATGTTGGATGCCAACAAGTAAGAATAACAAAAAGCATGACTGATGAATAAGAACTTCTTATTGCTCTTTAAATAGCACTTTTAGAGCAATTTGGAAGTGAGCTGGTATGCTGACAAATGTTTGCTAGGAATAGTCAAAATTGTTAAAGGTTTTATATTAGTTTAAACCTGTCTAAATTTTGCGGATAGTCTCTATCTATGAAGAGTAATTCAAGAATTTATATACAGAAAAAAGAGAGGAAAAAAAAAAAAAAAAAAGCTACTGCTAGAAGGAGAAAAGCTCCTGGCAATTAGATGGAAAGTGGTGTTGTCTTCAGCTTTTACCATTTCCCCTAGGAACTTGTCATGATTTCCAACTGTTGTTCTTATTGAAGGCTCTACACAAGGCAAAACATTTGGAGAACTTGCGCTGTTTTTTTCCTACTTCCTTTTCTTCCTAATTTGGATCTTGAGTCGTAAACGTTTAAGGATGCCAACTTTCCTTGTGTTTTAGGTAAAAGCAAAAAACATTGATAACCAGAAAGAAAAAACTGAACTGTTATCCTCCTTTCCTCATTTCCAGAGGATCAATAAGACTAAGGAAATAAGAGAATCCAGTGTCTCCTTTAATTGATAATAAAACGACCGCTGTAGCTCCCTGCCAGCTCTGCTTCTGCATTGCATCAGTGACTATCAATATCTCAGGTGCATTTTATTCTATTTCACTCCGTCCTCAGACCAGTCAACTTTAGAGGTTTGTTTAAAGGATTACACAGGTTGCAGATGAGACCAAACAGAAATGTAGCTTTTCCAAAGCTGCGTCAGTGGTTGCAGTTCGAAGATCAAGTCACGGGGTGCACCTAGGTTGGGTGCGAGCTCAGGGACCCCAGGTGTCTGCACGTGGCAATGCCTCGAACCTTTCCTACCTCCCTTGCACTTCCACATCATGCTTTTTGTATGTAATCTTGCAAAAATTGGTACAATTTACTTCTGGATAATGCATGTTCTCGCGCCGCTTTGTCTCTCTGAGGATTAGTTGTGGTACGAGTCTGTACACGGTGCATTGAGTTGGCATTGAAATAGGTCTTTTGGTTGGAAGTAAAATGTAGAGAAGGTCTAAAAAATTCTTCAAGTTATTTTAATCGTTATATTTTCATCCTGGGGAGTAGGCAGGCAGTGAGGGACTCTGCTCTGCTCTACTGAAAAATTAAATGTTAAAGGCGTGTTTACAAGTGCTCTATACAAGACCTGCCGATGCCTTGTGCTTTGGCCGAGATTCTCCTGCGGGCTGCAGGTTGGCACAGCCCTCCGTGGCGCTCGGTGGGGTGTTCCTGCCCGGCCCTTAACCCACCCTCGTGCCACCCACGTACAGAGGGAGCCGCTCCAAAAGCGCGCGGGGAGCACGTTAATTTGCACAGAGTTGTTGCAAAGTTATTACTGGAATCCGCTGCCAAAATCTGCTCTGGCACCAGCTGCCAAGAGCCTTATTTTGATTTTTGTAGCTGCTTTGATATGGTTTACTGTATTGCTTATGTAGACTGTGCGTTTGGTGTTAGATATGTGATTGCTGATAAGACTCTTTATAGGGGAAGTACTGAATTTGTACTCGAGGATCACGTCATCCTCAACGCAGTTAGGTGTGAAGTGCATCCTGCCATTGCATTTGAAAAACCAATACTGTTCTTATTTTTTTCTTAAGAACAGTAGTTACTAACTTGGAATTAGCACTCAGATAGTCCTCAGAGCCTTTGTTCAACTGGTGTAGATCAGTACAGATGTTCCTTGTGTGCAACTTCTCTAAAAATGATGGGTTTTTTTCAAAAACTGTAGTATTTGTAATTCACACGCAGGCTTAATTTAAACATAGTGTTTTAAATTATTTTTAATATGSTTTTTCATGTAGATTGCTATTGGAAGTTGATGGTCTCCATCACATCTTTTTGAAGGATACTAATCCTAAAAAGGAAATATTCTCTGATTTTCCAGGTGCTGTAGCAAGCCTGTAAAACCCCATGGTTTCCAGTGGATTTCAGTTCCATACTTAGGTCCTCTCTCTTTTCCTCTTCTTTTGTTCTTTCTCATCTTCATTTCTGGGCTTGGTTTCAGACTCCAACAGTGCCAAGGGCTGCCCACCTTGGTGCTGCGCTGTCCTGCCCTTTTCATATCTCATAGCCTCTTAGAGCACCCAAGTGGAGCAGCCACACTCCTATATGTTTGATTTTTGCTTACTRTTTTCCCTGAATATATTTGAACGTGGTTTGCATGTGTAGTAAAAAGCACATTTATCTTTTATATTCCTTTTGGTGCATTTTTTGTTTCGTTTTTGCCCTTTACAATTTGAGATTTTGGATAAGGGAGGAAAACTTACACCACTGAACCCAGTTAGTTSAGTGGTTTTAGCTCTTGTCCTCTACTTGCTTGCAAGTTACTTCAGTTAACTGATGGCTGGTGTACATTTTCTGTGTGCTTGACATGGAGAAAAGAAGAAGAAGAAGAAAAAAGGCAATCCCTTATTCTAGTTCTTAGAGACCTGACAGTTTAATTCTTCTGTCTGCCCGAGCTGGTCCGGTTTGGCTCAGATAAAGGTTCCTCGGAAAACTCACAATGCCCTTTAATTCCTCTRTAAAATATCGCAAATGAATCTTCTTACTAGAAAAAAATTACTGATGAATATCCGAATCCCAGATATCTATCTTTACCAAAAAAAGAAAAAAGAAAAAGAAAAAAAGATGCTTTTAGAAAAATCAGGTTATTTAATTTTTGAATTTTGGGAGGAGAGGATGGCTGTCGCCGCAATAGCGAGCAGACTGCTCTGCGCTGTCTCCACATTTAGTTTCCAGACTTTCTTTGCATGAAGTAATTCTTCTCTGTTAAGAAAGATGATCATTCATATATATATATATATATATGTATATATAAAAGACAGCTAGGAAAGAAGGCATACATTCAAGAAGTCAGCTATTATTAAGTCAGTAGGTAGAGAGAAGAGTTCAAATTCCTACATGTTCCAGAATTTTTATTAGACTTAATAATGTCTTCTGTTATTTATATGCATTTAAAATACACAACTCCCCCAAATATAATATATATGTGYAATTAGTGGTCTGATAAAAACTCTAGACAGGATTTATAGGCGTTATTGTCTCATAATTATAGTGATATTCTCTATTGTGAGAGGAACACAATAGGACCTCTCTTATTATTAAAAAAAAAGTCAAATTTGTAGAACAATTATTCACTAAAATTGCCCATAATCTTCCAGAATGGATTTTCTTTGTGTGTGGTATTTTCATATAAATACATAAACGAAGAATAAATCTAAACAAGATAAGAAGAGAAAATTGGAAGCCTTCTCAGCACTTTTTCKTCCCCACAGCAGGAATTGCAAAACGATTTTGTTTCTTTTTTTTCCAGTTCTTTGCTGTTGCCCAGCCAACACCTGAGGGATCTCGAACAAACCTGGGAGTAATTAAAATTCAAAGCTTCAGCATTCAGATACTTTTTACACTTTTGCTTCCAACTAGCAAGAAATTTTCCAGACAGGCTTTTAATTAACAGGTGAGTTTAATTGATAGGTGAGTGTTCTGTAAATGGAAGGGATATCAGAAAGGGAGAAYTCTTTCATACCCACAGTTTAAGACCATTAATTCATTTGCACATGGATGTTCCCCCTGAATCAATTTACTTCAGTGAATAAATACAACAGAAGACYTACGTGCTGCAAAGCAGCACATTTGCGCTGTGTTCCCATAGAATTCCTGACCCATGGCAGGCTTTTTGCAGGATGCACTTGGAACTGCAGTGCTTTGAGATTTGCAAATATGTTTTCCTTGGGACAGATATACCATGGAGTAAGTGTTGCATTAAATGCAATTGAAGAGTTTGTCAGTGACTTTGGCTACTGGTTGCTAGAGCTTACTTTATGGTATACTTTGGCCCTGCCAAATGCTGGGGTCACGTCAGAACTCGTCATCCAGACTGGCACCGGAGCRAGGGGAGAGGCCCAGGAGCCTCCAGACAGAGGCACTTGCAGGAGGTGGCCCTGGCCGGTGGCTCTGCAAGGTGGCCACACACCTGCCTCCCCGGGGCCTTACTGACCACGGGAACCCGCTGCGAAATACCATTTTTTAAGGAATAAAAATGAGAATGTTTAAAAAATATATATTAAATAACTATATAAACATGCATATATAATACATATATTAACTTTTTTCARTTGCATACACTGTTCGTAATAAACATATAAAGGACTTCAGCATTTCAATGCAGTTTTAGAATTTCCCACTTTGCTAGAAACATAAAAACCTTTATAGAACCAAGGATATAGTAAAATGTGACATTTATGGCATTTGTAAAGCAAAAACAAGTAATTTTGTGCTGCAGAAGATTCCAAATGTGCTTTTCAGTAAAAATGCCACGTTGTTTTCCCAAAGATGAGAATGCCCAGTCTTGCCTTGCACTTTCTTGGCTGATAGAAGATGGATTTTTCTCTGCATATGAATCAGTAGAGGGCAACATCTCCTGCGAAGCACATGTAGGCTCGTCTGATAGCACCTTCTTCTGGCTATAGGGTAGAGCTTGTGCGGGTTACACTTAGGGTATTGTAGCTTCATGGATTGTGTTTGACAGGAATGCAGGGGGTATCTTGATTTTTTTTTTTTTCCCTGTTAATTTTATGCCCTGACTCTTGGGGTAAGCAAAGCTGGGAATCATGTTAATTCTATCTGAGCAGGCTGGTGTGTCGGATCAGGCYGTCGTTCTTCTGCCTTGATTGCTTTGTTGTGTTTGGTGTTGGAGAAGTTTATTATTGCTTCCTGTTCAACGTGTTTAACGGGCTGCTTGGAGAGATTCTTTACGAAATAAATAAATAAATAGTAGGAGGAAAATGACTGCGCTGTATAATSTGCTGACGCTGCTCAGCTTCATTACTCTACATATAAAAACCTGCCTGCTTCAGTAAAAACAATTCATTTAATTAGTCCCTCATCCCCACTGTATCCCATAGTCCAAATGTATCCTCAAATGGGATCGCCTTTAAAAGCTCCTAATCCTTCGTGTCCTTGTCAAAGGAAGGGAAGATGTAGCTGGAGAAGTGTGTTCTCCATTCCTAGTGCCTGAAACAACTCCCATCGTTTTCACTTGCTGTGTCKATGTGTTTGTTTAGGATTAAACATGAACTATGAGCCTTATAGCCAAGCTGTACATGTATAGTCAGTACATATATAGTCAAGTTTCTGAACTTAAAAATTAGAGGTTCAGACAGGAACTGTGAAGTCAGTTACACAGATAGTTATGGAAAGGGTGCTCTCCATGCACTGACCATCCCGGGAATGTCAGTGCCTTGCTGCTCTTCCAGAACAGATGGTGCTTCCAGCAGACTGTAAGGTCAGGCTGTTACGAACCAGAAACCAACTCCCAAGTTTTGCAGCTCTCGGAGAGATGGCTTTGCCRAGCAACCCACTCTGTGAAAATGTGGAAGAAACCAGTTTGCTAGGCCCGGTGGTGGCAGCGTGTCAAGCGTGTCCGGGAGGSTGCTCTAAATCGCTCTTTGGGACCGATCCAAGGATCGGAGAGCAAAGGCTTAAACCACCTTTAGCTTCCCTGGGGTTGAGCTGAGCACCATAATGCTAACGCAAAGATCTGGCTCASAGCTTTATGAAATGGTAGAGGATGTGAAAGCAAGCTGTGAAGACTTAATCCAGATAATATCGCAGTGCTGTAACAATGGGCTGCGGCAGCAACTGGGAGATTTGGCAGCGRCCGTGTCTGCAAAATRGCCAGCATTTCCTTCTCAGAGTTAYGATTTCACTGTTAGTCCTTTGTTCAAAAAGGAAGCTCCATTGTGAAAAACCAATATTTTGGTATTGCGCTCTATACTGAACAGTGAGCACTGCTGTACACTGAGAAACAAATTAATGAATCAAATATTGCAGTACTATCCACAGGGGCTCGTTTAAAAGCAAATGCTTGACAGAGCTGGAAACTAGCTTAAATGCAAATGAGCCCATGTGATGAAATCTGTAATGTTTGATTCATTAATTTGTCTCTCATTGTACAGCAGTGATCATTGTTTAGTGTGTGCTCCTAATGAAAGACCCTTAAAGACGGCGTTTCCAACTGTCTGGAGRAGGTTTGCTTTAAGTTTTGTAGCAAAACCTTTCATGGTCTTGCAGTGTCCCCGCAGCGTCTAGGATAATCCTTTTATTTAATTCTTTTTTTTTTTAAAAAAAAACCTAATATTTAATATATATTTTAGTTTTCTTGTGATACAGGCTAGCAGATGGAATGAAGGAGAGCCAGGATCATACGATCAGCCAGCTTTCCAAGGGCCCCCAACAGCTAGTATGTTATAGTTAAAAGGAGCAAAAAAAAAAAAAATGTGCGGGAAGGAAAAATCTGGGCTAAGGGTTGAGTAGAAAAAGCAAAGCCTCCCTCCCACTTTGATATGGTTACTCTCCCCAAAATTTTTGTCAACTGGAAAATCATGGCCCAAAAGAGGAGAGGAGAGTCTCAACTTTGTTYCTTACCTTTTGTAGAAGTTAAGCTATTAAATAGCAGCTTGACAGGCATTCTGGTAATGTATATTTAGTCTTCTCTAACAGTAACATCAGCCTCCACTTGTCAGCTTCCTAACTCTCAGCCTAAAGTTGAGCTTCTRTTTTCAGTTGTCTTTCATATAGGATTGGGGAAGAAGTGACAGAAAAGGGTTATCAAATTAAATGGCTACTTCAAGAGATGTCATCAAMTGCAGAAACCTGAGTTCAGTGACAAGATTTTAGCTGAGTCAGTCAAGATTTACAGCTGCAAGTGCAGACGTTTGTATAGGTTTCTCTGCATTAGGATTCCTCAGTGTAATGAGGGCTTGGATCCGTAAGAGTCTCCACACAGGATTTTGAGAGCYGCATATCGTATCGGGAAACAGGGAATGCAGAAGGATTCGTGGCTTGTGGGCAGCATGTAATAGATAATTGGCAAGGCTAGGGCTCCTGCTTTTGAGATGCTTGTTCCAAATCCAAGTAGTGTGCACTAGGCCAATCTGTCTATTTATTTCCATTTCATAGCTGCAGTGATTATGTTCTGTGTTCTGGGAAGCGCGACGATAAGTGAGTGTTTTGCAGCTACCTCTAGACGTGGAAGCTAACAATTAAGCCCAAAGCAAGGATGCTCCGGGGGCAAACACGGCAATTGCCATTGTAGCATCCTAGGGATRGGATTAATTTATAGGGCTCTGAAGCTTTATTTATTTATTTGTTTTCTTACAGGACAGTTTCTATTTCCTTGGCTTTTTTTAGATGGCAAACTCAGATGTCAAATATTGTATGCTACAGAGCAGTTAGTTCTTGAGGTCAATCAGAGAGAGTTGAAGTAATTAAAAATAAAGGTTCTTTTCTGTAGAAACAGCCTTCGAAAATGAAATCATAGAAAGCCTGACCTTGCTGTAATCATAATTTGTTTTTCATAGCACACTGTATTACTGAACAAAAGCTATAAACCCTTTCCCAATAGCAACCAAAATAACTTGAAAAGGAGACTTAAATAGGTGTTTAGAAGTGTATAAATCCTGATGAAGGTTTTCTCACTGAAGAACTCTCTGGAGCCTGCTGTCCTTAGCCCTCAATATGGAGCAAGCTGTCAGGATGAGGTGGAAACCAACCACCTCATCAGAACAAGGGAAGAAAAAAAATCATGTTGATTTTCATCTAGTTTTGAATGTGTTTTAGGCTTAGATTTTTGTTTAAATGCTTTTCTGTGCCTAGGCTCACTGGGGCAGCCGTTCCATTGCAGCTTGCCTAGTACCAGTTGGATTACATCTCTGCTTAGCATGTTGTCTAACTCCAGGTGCCAGCACCAAGGGGTTAACAGAGCACTGCTGGAGACTCGAGGAGATGGAGATGCTGCTTGGCAGGACTTGGTTACTTTGGTTTCTCTTCTTTTGTRTTTTTTAAACACTATTATTCATTTCTGGTCATTATTTTTTTTTCCCGGAAACAGTTTTTGCTTGTCTGGAGCTTCCCCCACTTTGTCGTGGCTCTTCCRTCACCAAAGCTCTTTCTCAGGGTCCTGTTGATTTTCATTCACAAACCACTGTGGTTCTATCACTGCTCATCTGAATGTCACCCCACTTCCCAGCGACCACCTTTCACCATCTCTTTTAGCATGTCCAATCCTTTACATCAGTCTTTTGGATGGTTTAATTCCTCAACTCTTCAGCTGATGCTATCAGAGCTGTTTATGTTACTAGGCACAGCCAAAGAATTATAACTCGGATGCTGCGTTCCGCTTCATGCCCCTGTTTATTAGTGAGCTGGTAATGTTGTAAGAAGTTGCACTAGCCTTTGCTTGATGTAGTATACGAACATYACAGTATAGTAATTCGAAAACGTGTTATCTCAAAATAAGGTTTGCTTATGAACTTTTACTTTCTGTTCATGCTACAGCAGGTGGCTTCTGCTAGCTAAAGAAAATTCCAAAAACCTTATTTTTTGGTCATTTCCAGATATTGCGGAAGTTCTACAAATCAAAAAGTGCGTCTGCTAAAAAAAAAAAAAAAAAAAAGAAAGAAATTAAAAAAAACCCTAAACAAGTTGATGGACACTTTATTTTAGAGTTTGTATTTTGGAGTATTAGAGTATAGAGTATTTTAGAGACAAGTATTCCTTTCCAAAACAAATTTTTACACTCTACTCTTATTCACATTATATTTTCATGTCATTTAAAACAACTTTCAAAAGTGACAGTTGTTTCTTCTAGTCTGCAATCTGTTATTTGAGAATATTTTTCCGGTTATGTGTTTATTATTATATATATTCTCGTTTATTTTGCTGATGATATACTTGCAGGAGGGGACAGGGAAATAGCAGGTAGCAGGTGAGATGTGAAATGAGGAAAAGCTCCTGAAGCTCCTTGCAGGTCACAGGTCTGCATGGCCAAGGTGTCCCAGTGCTCCAGCCCGCTGCGGACCCTGCGGCTTCGCTTTTACATATGCAGTAGCAGATGAACCAGAAGGCAGGAGTGTTGTCCATTCTCCTTTTGTGTGAAATATCATTT